GTGGTTTTTGGAAATGTGTACTAAGTGTACGAACTGTACGAAATTGTACAGAATGGTGCTAAATTTGTAAGTGTTCGGTTTAGGGTGAACAAATGAAGCTGGAATTTGGAAATTTTATATTGGGTTGATCCCTGTTGGTGGTAGGTTGGTGATAAGGAAATAGTTTTGGAGATGTGTATCAAAAGTCCACGAAAAGTACTAAATAGTACTATATTTGGTACAATTTCGTATTGGTTGAACAGATATCGCTTGAAATCCGAAATTTGGTATTAGGCTCTTTGTCCATGTTTAGCCTGGACATATGCAGGTGATTTTGGAAATGTGTGCCATAATTGTACGAAAAGTACTGAATGGTACTATATTTGGTATTGGATGAAGGGATAAGGATACAATTCTCAAATTTGATATTTGGATAGGTTGGTATCTGAGGTTGGAATTTGAAGGTGATCTTGGAAATACGAAAAGTACTAAATGGTACTAAATTTGATGTTGTGTGAAGAGATAGGGCGGGAACCCTGAAATTTGATATTGAGGTCTCTGTGGTTATCTGGAATTAAATAATTAAAACAATTAAAATAATTGTACGAAAAGTACAAAATGGTACTAAATTTGGTATTGGGTTAAGGGATAGAGATAAAATTCTCAAATTTGATATTTAGATAACTGTTAGCATCCGAAGTTGAGATTTAGCAGTGCATTTGGAAAAAGCCTTCCATTTTTTTTACGACCAGTACTAATTTAGTACCATAAATTTCGTATTGGATGAAGGGATAGGACTAGAATCTCGATATTTCATATTGAGGTCCTTGTTTGTATCTGGAATTGAAAAATGGAGGTGATTTCGAAAATGTGTACTATAACTGTAGTAAAAGTACCAAAATGGTACAAAATTTGATGTTGTGTGAAGAGGTAGGACGGGAATCCTCAAATTTGATATTGAGGTCTCTGTGGTTATCTGGAATTGAATAAGGAGGTGGTTTTGGAAATTTATACTATATTGTACGAAAAGTTCTGGTACTATATATTGTACTGGTGGAAGCGATCGCAATCGATGAAACCGTGAAATTTTACATTGCGTAGCGGCTGGAGTCTACGCTTGAATTCTCAAATTTGATATTGAGGTCTCTGTTTGTATCTGGTGTTGAGATTTGTTTTTCGAAAAGTACTAAATGGTACTAAATTTTTTATTGGGTGAAGGAATAGAGCTGGAATTCTCAAATTTTATATTGAGGTCGCTATAGGGATCTAGAATTTAGATATAAAGGTGGTTTTGGAAATATGTGCTATAATAGTACAAAAAGTACTAAATAGTACCCAATTCGAGCGGAAAAATTGCATGTGGATCCATTGTGACATTTGTTTACCAATATCCTTATCGGTAAATATTAAAATGAAATGTTTTGGAGTAAAAGGTAAATATTTTCCAACTACTCTTTCCGAAAAAAAGAAAAAAATTGATAAAAAAAAATATAAAAACTTGAAAATCTGAAAATTCAGATTCAAATTCATTCAGTTTTCAAACTGAACAAAATGTGAATTTTGAGTACTAAAAAGACCTAATACAAAATGTTGGAACGAATCGAAACATTTTAAGGTGGAATTTTTTGCTAACGAAGTAACGGGCACTTGTTAGTATTTCTATAAGTCAAAAACCGTTCGAAACTCTCATTTTATAGACCTTCTATAGATAACAGGACTTTTATAGAATCCCATACCCCTTCTCATGAATCCCCTCATCTTTTCAACTATATATTCTTCTTTTTTTATTTAACATCAATTTATTGGCATATTTTCCCTTCCATGGACAGTATTTTTAATTTACAAGCTTTACAGGATTCCATTTATCCTGCGTATTTATTTTATAAAAATAAAACCTATCGCAAACTGACTGGCAATTATCTGCAAGTTTTCTCTGTTCTTTCTCATTTACATCGTTTCCCATTTCCATTGTCAACAATTAAATGAAAAATATAAGAGCCAAAGTGAATGAAGAAAATATTTATTTTTTAATACTCCTATCTACCTGCTACCTGTTTTATTTATTTTTAACCAGCCAACAGACATACAAGTCCATTTAAACACATTTACATCCATGCCACAGAAATAGAAAAAAAAAATGCTCATCCATCTTCATGTAGTCCCGAAAAAATCCATGTCATGCTGTGCCTTGACACAAAGGCTCCTCGTTTAAAGCCAGAAAAAAGAATCCATACAATTCGTTTTCACGAGTATTAACACACACACACACACGAATATTCACACACACACATATACACACAACGAGAAGATCTTTTCATAGCGATAAGTGAAAAAGATCTGGCGACAACAAGGAGCCATAGTAATGATAACAACAATACCAGGGTGTCCTTTGTAGCTGCAGCGGCAGCAGGTAAAAAAAGGAAGAAAGCATTTGAAAATTTGAACAGTAGAATGTCGAAAAAAAAAAACAAAAAAAATCTTCTCCTTTACATAATTTTCAACAGGAATACTCGCTACTCTGCCCGTAGAGGACAATGGGATGATGTTGAGATAAATTCCTGAGAAAGGATAATGCATCAGTTCACAATGGGCGAAATAACAAAACATATGTCTCTTGAACACACATAGCAATACTCTCTCTCTCTCTCCCTCCCACTCTCTCCCACGGACACACACACACACATAACCACACAGTCAAGGCACACATGGCCGGCTTGATTTTTCTTTATCTTTAGAAATGAAAAAATCCTTTTTAATGGATTTATGAGAGTGTGTAAATATGTATACACATGTGAATGTGTGTGTGTGTGAAAATGCATTTCAATGCACTGCTTCCTTGTTTGCATTGCTTAATGATGTTCTTCCCAGCGAGCGGTGGTGGGAGGAGGTTTAAATTAAGATTTTTTTTGGAAGGCATGAGATGCAACACCTGCTGCCTTTACAGTTGGCTGCTGCCACTGCTGCTCCTTTTATACACTGCTGGTATTTACTGAACAAGAAAAACAATACAAATGCATTCATTTTCAAATGTTATTTGGAATTTTATTATTAATTCCTTTATTTTTGTTCAGGATGTTGTGAGAGTTTCAAGTCACCTTGCCCAGCCAGCCAAATAGTCATTTATCATGATTTTATTTCGAAAATCTTTGGAAGAAATGGCAGATGTTTTCGGTTACCGTTTATCTTTATATCAGTTCTATTGTTTCAAAAAAAAAAAAAAAAAAACACACGCACAATTAGAAATGCTTGAAATGGAACGAATTTTGTAATGCGTTTGAAGGGTCAAAAAACAGACAGATGAGATATGGGATTTTAGTGAGAAATAGAATTGAAAACAGCTGGAAAAATAAACCGATTTCAATTTGTGGCTGAAAGAATTTTGAAATGGAAAATAAGAGAAAATCGTTTGAAAAGAGGGATGGGGGAAGGGTAAAAGAGGCATTTGAATAAGGTCTCTTAAATTCAATTCGAAATGTAACTTCTTCAGAAATTTAAATTGAATTTTTTTGGGATATTTTGTAAAGGACTAACACACCAATAAATCTGCATTTTCAAAAAAAAATTTGTTCAAGGACCAACAGATCTGTAAATCTGGGTTTCTTTTATATATTTTGACTGGGACCAATAGACCACTAAACATGAATTTTTTAAGAATATTTCTTCAAGGGCTAACCAGATTTTTAAAGGATATTTTTTCAACGACCAACTGACCTCTGAACCTGGATTTCTTTAGGATATTTTATCAAGGACCTACATTCATCTATACGTGGATTCCTTTGGGATATTTTGTCAAGGACCAACAGACCACTAATCGTGGATTTTTAAAGAATATATTTTTTTTTTAAACCAACAGACCTCTAAACCTGGATTTCCTTGGGATAATTTTGAAAAACTAAGAAACCATTTTTTTAAAGATTATTTTTACAAAAATCCACAGTCCTCTTAACTTGGATTTCTTTGAGAAATTTTGTCAAGGTCTAACAGGCCACTAAATGTAGATTTTAAAGGTAATTTTTTCAATAACCAACAGACCTCTAAACCTGGATTTCTTTAGGATATTTTGTCAAGGATCAAGAGACCTGTAAACCAGGATTTATTTGGTATATTTTTTCAAGGACTGACAGATCTCTAAAAATTTAATTTTTGGTATATTTTGTGAAGGACCAAAAGACAGTGGTCTTTAAAGAATATGGATTTTTAAAGAATATTTTTTCAAAGACCAACAGACCTCTAAATCTGGATTTCTTTGGGATATTTTTTCAAGGACAAAGGGACCACTAAACGTGTATTTAAAAAAAAATCAAGGACCAACTATCCTCGAATCCGGATTTTTTTTTGGATATTTTGTCAATTACCAACAGACCACAAAACATGGATTTTTAAAGAATATTTTTTCAAGGATCCACTGGCCTCTAACCCAGAATTTCTTTGGGATATTTTGTCAAGGACCAACAGAAATCTAAACCTTTTTGATGAATATTTTTCAAGGTCCAAAAGACCTCAAAACCTAAATTTCTTTGGGACTTTTTTTATCAAGGACCAAAAGACCACAAAACGTGGATTCTTTTGAAATATTTTTCAAGGACCTTTTTAAAGAATATTTTTATATTTTTAAAGAATATTTTTTCAAGGACCAACAGACCTCTAAACCTGGATTTCTTTGCACAATTTTCTCAAGGACCAACAGACCACAAAACGTGAATTTTTAAAGAATATTTTTTCAAGGACCAACAAACCACTAAATGTGAACTTTTAAAAAATATTTTTTCAAGGACTAACAGACCACCAAACGTGCGGTTTTAAAGAATATTTTTCAAGGAATTTTTAAAGAAACTATCTTCAAGGACCACCAAACGTGGATTTTTAAAGCGTATTTTTCAAGGACTAACAGACCTCTAAAAGTGTAAAAAATCCAGAAAACAAGGGTTTTAAAGAATATTTTTACCATTGTTTTTTTCAAAATAGTTTTTTTTTCAAATACCTATAATCTAATATTTCTATATTAATCTCTTCCTTTGCAGATCCCTATTCGAGGCCACCACCACAACGACCAGCGCTGCCGCCATGGGCATTGACAACCCTCTGAGTGGTCTGTCCGGCGCCTCTTCACCCTCAGTACCTGGAGCTACACTAACGGCGCCACCACTACGTTTAAGTTTTCGCAAATGGTTTTCTCGACCCTCGTTGCCATTTGTTATTGGCATTTTGGCTCTGGGCGGAGTGGCCTGTACTCTGGGTGGCATTGTTTTGGGTTCCACAGGTCTCATTGAACACTCGACACAGTATCTAAGTGCTGCTCTGCTCATGATTGGCATTGGTGTGTCGCTGCTGGTTATATCCGGAGCAATTTGGCGCCTCAGTCTACCCGATGATGTGGACGAATGTCCCTGCTATCGTCACATGGAAATGTGTCGCAATTGTAACAGTCCCTATTGTAATAGTCGCATTATGGCCGCCGGAGGATATTTGTATCCGGAATTCCAACATCGGCCACCACCACCATCGTATTTGACCTCGCTGAATGAATGTGCCGGTATGAGTTTACTGTTTCATCCCACGGCTTCGGCTCAACAGGCGGCCCATTACAGTACGATTCGGGTGAATACACCACCACCACTGTATCGTTCAACAAATTCTCTGAGGTGAGTTGGAAATATTTTCAATTCTAGTTTTGAAAAAAAAAATATTAATTTTTCGTTTTTTCTTCTTATTTTTAGTGTTTTTGGCTCCAATGCCATAATGCCGCCACCCACGAACAATGGGGCCGCACCTCAAACCTCAACTTTAGTTCCTACATACAGCCAGAATACCAGCAGCTCTGTTGGCATTGTGCCGGATCACACTGCCATAACAATGAGCAATGTCATGGAGAATCTATCAGCTCAGCAGCAGCAGCAGCATCATCATCACCACCAACATCCCCACCATCAGACACAGCCATTAATTAAGGAATTCAATTATTTGGAGCTGGATTAATTTTGAAGCCCATCCCCCCTCAACTCTCTGGAATTTCCCCACGAGCAACAAACAAACCAACCAACCAACCAATACATTGACTGATGTTTTATTATGTCTTAAGAAAAAAAAACAAAGGAACAAAATTATTTATTTTTAATGCTGAAAAAATAATTCAAATTTGTATTGAAAGAAATATTTGAATATCATTTGAAAAAAAAAGGAAAAAATCTATGTTTTGATTTTGAATACAAAAAATCAGAACCTAAATATTTTTAAAATAAAATTGTACAAATTAAATTATGTTTAGATTAAAAACAAAAATTTTATAAAAAAAAGTGGAACCCAGAAATTTTATAAGAAATGTGACCCATCAAAATTTACAATATCAACACAAACTAACCTCAAATTTTTGTACGATCAGGCAGAGCAACAATTTCAAGAGAGTTAACTCTGCTCTCATTTGTTTACAAAAAAAAAGGAATCTCATTAATAACATTATACAAAAGATATAGAGAATACATTTTTCAAAAGTGACCAAGGCAGGAATGTAAGAACCTCTAAGGGAACTACAAATGTGAGGTTATGTCAAAGAGGGTTTTATTTTTGAATTTCAGGAATTAAAAAAAAAAAATGCTCATTCTCCTATTTATATTAAGATCATAAAAATTTCCATCCAGAATTTTAAAACGTTCTCTTTTTTTGAGGAAATTTGGACAAAAACATCTTTTTTTAAATACCTAACCTCAATTTTTGAAATAACAAAAAATCATTTTTTTGCTAAAATCCCAATGAAAACAGTGTCTGCATTAAAGGAAAGGTGTCACTTTTGAAAAATTATTATATATTTCCAATATCAATATCCTGAAACCTCGACATAATCTTACACATTCTATATATATTTGTTTTTTTTTTGAATATATATATAAATGTATTTTTTAAATGTTATAGGAAAAAACACATAATATCATGTTTTGTTATGTTTTCATTTATAGAAATATTATTTTCATTTATTTACGCAAAAAAAAAAAGAAAAATCAAGAAAACCCACAAACCCGGAAATAAAATAATATATAAAACAAATATATATTATAAATTATAGATTGTATATAGAAAAATATTTTTTTTAATGAAAACCGAATATATTTTATCCCCCTGCGGAATTAATATATGATTTTTGAAAACAGAAAATTCCTAGGTTATTTGTTTTAGTTTAATTTTTTTTATATAAATATAAACAATTTTCCAAATGTTATGTTTAATTATAATAGTAATGACCAACGACAATTTCCGTAATGCCAAATTAATTTTAAAATTACAAATTTCTTTTAGTTTCCATTTTCATTGTCTTCTTTACAAAAAAAAATACACATATATAGAAAAAAACTGGAAAAAATTTAATAAAAAAATACAAAAACAAGCAAAACAAATTTTGATGTGAAACAAAAATAAAATAAATTTTGTTTTTATTTAAATAGTGGTGGGAGGTGTTTATTAAGTATTTTTGGAAGGACTATTGGAGGCATAAACGTGGATTTAAAAAACAAAAACTCAAGGAGCAAGGATCTTTAGAGAATATGTTTTCAAGGACCAATAGACGTCGAAGCCTGGATTTCTGTAGGATATTTTGTTAAATTTATATCAAGGACTAACTGGATATTAAAAAATGATTTTTAAAGAATGCCTTTATAAGGAGCAATAGGCCATTAAACGTGGATTTTTAAAGAATAGATTTTCAAGGACCAAGAGGACAATAAACCTGGATCTCTTTAGGATTTTTTGTTAAGAACATTCCAGATATTAAAAGTGGACCTTTAAAGAAAATTTTTTCAACGACCAACAGACCACTAAACGTGGATTTTTAAAGAATATTTTTTCAAGTACCAGCAGACCATTAAACTAAACTTGGATTTTTAAAGAATATTTTTTCAAGGACCAACAGACCACTAAACTTGGATTTTTAATGAATATTTTTTTCAAGGACCAATAGTCCACTAAACGTGGATTTTTAAAGAATATTTTTTCAGGGATTAACATACCACTAAACGTGGATTTTTAAAAAATATTTTTTTTGTAAGGACCAACAGACCACTAAACGTGGATTTTTAAAGAATAGATTTTCAAGGATCAAGAGGACAATAAATCTGGATCTCTTTAGGATTTTTTGTCAAGAACATTCCAGATATTAAAAGTGGACCTTTAAAGAAAATTTTTTCAACGACCAACAGACCACTAAAGAATATTTTTTCAAGGACTTACAGACAACTTAACTTGGATTTTTAAAGAATATTTTTTCAAGGACCAACATACCACTAAACGTGGATTTTTAAAGAATATTTTTTCAGGGATTAACATACCACTAAACGTGGATTTTTAAAAAATATTTTTTTTAAGGACCAACAGACCACTAAACGAGGATTTTTAAAGAATACTTTTCAAGGACAAACAGACCACTAAACGTGGATTTTTAAAAAAAATATTTTTTCAAGGACCAACAGACCACTAAACGTGCATTTTTAAAGAATATTTTTTAAGGACCAACAGACCACTAAACGAGGATTTTAAAATAATACTTTTCAAGGACCAACAGACCACTAAACGAGGATTTTTAAAGAATACTTTTCAAGGACCAACAGACCACTAGACGTGCATTTTTAAAGAATATTTTTTTAAGGTCCAACAGACCACTAAACGAGGATTTTTAAAAAAAAATATTTTTTCAAGGACCAACAGACCACTAAACGTGCATTTTTAAAGAATATTTTTTAAGGACCAACAGACCACTAAACGAGGATTTTTAAAGAATACTTTTCAAGGACCAACAGACCACTAGACGTGCATTTTTAAAGAATATTTTTTTAAGGTCCAACAGACCACTAAACGAGGATTTTTAAAAAAAATATTTTTTCAAGGACCAACAGACCACTAAACGTGGATTTTAAAATAATACTTTTCAAGGACCAACAGACCACTAAACGAGGATTTTTAAAGAATACTTTTCAAGGACCAACAGACCACTAAACGAGGATTTTTAAAGAATACTTTTCAAGGACCAACAGACCACTAAACGAGGATATTTAAAGAATACTTTTCAAGGACCAACAGACCACTAAAAGTGGATTTTTAAAAAAAATATTTTTTCAAGGACCAACAGACCACTAAACGTGGATTTTTAAAAGAATATTTTTTTAAGGACCAACAGACCACTAAACGTGGATTTTTAAGGAATATTTTTTTCAAGGACCAACAGACCACTAGACGTGGATTTTTAAAAAATAGTTTTTCAAGGAAAAAAAGACCACTAATCTTGTATTTTTAAACAATATTTTTTGAGGACCAACAGACCACAAAATTTGGATTTTAAGGAACAATTTTTCCATACCACTTTACTTGGACTTTTAAAGAATATATTTTAAGGACCAACAAACCACTAAACGTTGATTTTTAAAGAATATCTTTCAAGGACTAACAGACCACTTTACTTCTAAACCTGGATTTCTTTAGGATATTTGGTCTAGGACTATCTGATTATTAAAAATTAATTTGTAAAGTGTATTTTTTCAAGGACCAATAGATCAATCATCCTGGATTTTTCGAGAATATTTTGTCAAGGACCAACAGACTTCTAAACCTGGATTTCTTTAGGTGATTTTATGAAGGATTCGCTGGCTATTAAAAGCGCATTTTTAATAAATATCTTTTCAAGGACCAACCAACTACTTTACGTGGATTTTTAAAGAATATTTTTTAAGGACAAATAAGGATTTTTAGAGAATATATTTTCAAGGATCAATATACCAACGGGCTATTAAAAGTGAATTTTTCAAAAATATTTTTTCAAGGACCACCAGATCACTAAACGAAATTTGTTAGAGAATAGTTTTCAAGTGCTAACAGACCACTTTACGTGAATTTTTAAAGAATATCTTTTTCAAGGATCACCCCGCCACTAAGCGAGGATTTTTAAAGAATAATTTTTCATAGAACAGACCTCTAAACCTGAGTTTATTCAGGATATTTTGTCACAGACCATCGGGCTAATAAAAGTGGATTTTTAAAGAATAATTTCTTCAAGAACCAACAGGATGAGGATTTTTAGAGAATATGTCTTCGAAGACCAATAGACATCTGAACCTGCCTATTAAAATTGGAGTTTTAAAGAATATTTTTTTAAGGACTTCCACTCCATTAAACCAGTAGACATCTAAACCTGACTATTAAATGTGGATTTTTTAAGGACTATTTTTTCCAGGACCACTGGTCCTGAATTTGCAAAGAATATTTCTTCAAGGATTATCATTGCCAAAAACTTATTTTTTAAAGTATAATTTTTCAAGGATCAACAAACCAGTAAAAGCGGATTTTTGAAGAATATATTTTTGAAGATTTTCGAAGATTATTTTTTAAGTACGACTTGACCCAATAACGTGGAATTTTAAACAAAAAAATTTTTTTTCAAGGAATGTCAGAATCGCATGGTTCGATATTTAAAGAATATTGTTTCCAATCAAACTAAAAATATTATTAATATTTATTTATTATTATTTATATTTTTTTTTGTCTTAATTTTGTATTTATTATTGTGCGAGTTTTAAACTCTCAAATTTAAATGTTTTCTTATTTTATTACGATTTCACATCGAATATTTTTTGGCCATCCTGACGACGAACTGAAATCATGAAGATCGAAAATGCAGCGCCACAAAAGCCAATTATAATGGTATTCCACATGAAGACGTTGACAATGGTTTGTGTTCTGAAATATTTAAAAGAAAATATGAAAATTCAAATAATCTTTAAGAAAATCCCTTTCTCGAGCTTACGTGAAAACTTTGCCCTTAATGATTTTGGTGAAGTCATTACCCAGCGCCACGGCCTCTTCGATCCAAAATAATGGCATAACCAAGGGCCGCAGCTTACTCATGACGGGTATCTGCTCAATGGGTTCCACATCCAAATTGAATTGCAAACGTTTCGCTATGCTTAGGGGTGTTCCTGAAAACTAAAAAAAAGTAGAGAATTTTAAAATGTTATTTCAAATTTTGTAAATTCCGGACCCACAATTTCAAAATCAATAAAAATTCCATGTTTCTGCTCATTTGGCTCCAGGCCATCCACATCGGCCAATAGCTTGGGATCGGCATTTAGAAAATGTGGCTGTGAAGCAATCATGGGCGTTTCATTGCACAGCGACAAATCCATGGTACCCTTGTGGGGACACATATCGGGATAGTCTCTACAAAAGCAATGGTTCTCTGGTTCGTTCTGAGAGGACCACAAATTTATTTATAAAAAAAGAATCGAAAATTATAAATAATTTTTACCTTAACATCTCCCAAATCCATAACATAGCGCAATGCTGGCAAGCCATTGTAAGTTGTCTTCTTTTGAAACTGTGGCCCCAGTGAGCGACACAAATCTGGGGAGAATGACCACAGTCCATCACTGGGACTCATTAAAGGTGCAAATATGGTCGAATCAGTGCCACGCAGCTGATTGCACTCATCCTCTGGCCAAATATTCAGCTGTTCATCGTTATCGTATTCCAGAACCTTGCCAACGGTGCGGTGATCTTTTGTGCCACGGGAAACCTTGAAGCGTCCCGCATCACTGTGATTGCCCTGGGGTAGAATTTTTAATTTTTTTAAATATTTAAATTGATTATTTTTAATAAAATAATTTAAAAATAAAAATATATTTCCAAAAAGAAACAAGTAAAAAAGCTGTAAGTTCGGCCAGGCCGAACTTTGAATACTCTCCACCATTTGGAACGAATTTGGCAATTCTCAAAAACAATAAAATCCGTTAAAATTTCTGTTAAAATCCTAAAAATACCGAATGTAGCTATTATATTAGGGTCTATAAGCCATTACAATATTCAAATGCGAAACTTAAAAAAATCGGTTATAAAACCGATTATATGTCGATAAAAAAAAATAAAACCGAGATAATGTCGATAAAATCAAAATACCGAATATCGGGAGGTACCGTTATATGGGGGCTGTACGAAGACGTGGACCTGTCCTATCTGTCTGGCTGGTGCGTACGATGACTGTCGAAGGGAATATACGATTTGGTCCAAGCTTGGTACATCGTAAAATAATAGTTATTAAACTTAGATCGAGATCGGAGCTGGGCAATATCGGTCCACTCCCTCTGGTACCCCCCCGCAAAAGGTCAAAATATTCAAAAAAAAGAAATATTTTACTGCACAGAAAGAGAAAAAATATTCCGATTTTGCTCCAATTTTTCAAATACTAAAATTTTCATCAGTGCTAGGTCAGGTGAGAAAAAATGGACAATACCGGTCCATTCCATTAAGTACCTCCCCCACAAAGGGTCAACATTTTGAATAATCATAACCCTAATAAAATGTAAAATAAGAGTCCGATTGTCTTTCAACTTCACACATCCCATTATTTCTACTAGCACAATATCTGCTGTGAAGATGGAATATATCGGTCCACTTCTTCTGGTATCTCCCCCACAAAGAGTCAACATTGTGAATATCCACAAAGCTCATAAGAGCGAAAAATTAAAATCCGATTCCGTTCAGGCTTGGTACATCTCAATGTCTCTATCAACTCAAGATCTGTTATAAAAATGGTAGAGATCGGTCTATTTCTTCTGGTACCTCCCCCACAAAGGGTCAAAGTCTGGAATAACCAAAACGATTATAAAATTCGAAATAAGCATCCGGTTCTCTTCATATTTCACAAATCCCATTATTTCGACTAACGCTAGATATGCAATGAAGATGGGATATATCGGTCTACTCCTTCTGGTACCTCCCCTACACATGATCAAAGTTTTGAATATCCATCGAGCTCATAAATCGCGAAATTAACATCCGATTCCATTCAGCATTGGTGCATCTCAATATAAGAGAATTTTCAACGGATTTTTTTTAAATGACTAAATTCCTTTCAAATGTTGGGGGGTAATAAAAGTCGGCCGAACTTACACCTTTTTTACTTGTTTCTTTTTTCACTTACCGCTCCCAGAAGCGAAAACTTGAAATGAGTATCGTCCACTTTCACACCACCCTTTACGGCACCCGTATGGAAATTCAAACAAATGGCCTTGGCCGCAAAATTCTCTGTGTCGCAGTTGACATCAATGCCCCGGAAAAATATGTCCATTACAGGAGCTTGAATAAAGGCACTTCTGGCCTTGAACAACTCCTCCAGACCTTCGGCGATCATTTGGAGCATGGCAAATTTTTCACGTTTAATGGCAATGCCCATGACCTGAAAATTCGAATATTAGAAAATTTATATGATATTGGGATGGAGTTTTGAAAATTTCCTATTTTCATTTCTTAATCTTGCACCTGCACCAAGGGATGTGGAAATGTAACCACCTCCTCACCGCTCAAACCCAGATCGGGGCGAAAAATAAATGTATTTCTCATGGTGAATTCTACGGCATCCTCTTCTTCGATATCCTCAATGTCGTATTTATCTTTCCATTCTCTGGAAATCACAATATTGAAAATTTATTTGTTTTTTTTATGATTTTGTTTCACAGTGTAAATAAATTGAAGGGGGACTGAGACCCCTTTTCTTACTCAAACACAAATGGCCCCACTTCTTGCAGTCTGGGCTTGCCACCATCCTGTACCTCTTGCGGATTTGTGACATTGAAAACATAAATTGAAAACTTTATGTAAATTGGAAATTTCTCCCACATTTTGCGGGAGTCCGAACCGGGTTTCAAGTTGATTTGCTGAAAGTAAAAAAAAACACACACACACAAAAACCAGGTCAGGCTTCATTCCGATTTTTTTTTGGCTTCACACACTAACACTTTTAATAAGTTTCTTAAACAAATGGGGAAAGGCTACACCCAAACTAATGCCAACCACGGCCAGGATAATACAAGCAATTGCCACTCTTCTATAGAATTTTTCGGTCATTTCAACTTTTAGTTTCAATATTTTCCAACACAAAGTTAAGTAACACCCGCTACCTATGGCAAACTGTTTCGATTTTCATGAAGACCTCCGGTTTTTATATCAAGAACCCATCCTTCTTGCAAGGATTTTTTTCGATATGACAATTATTATTTTCAAATGTCAAATATTGTTATTAAATTTGGGAATGTGGGTTGTTTTCGTTTTTTGGGAATGAGATATTTTTCAATTTTAATTGAAGGGCGTTGTTGTTGATTGTATTTTGAATAATAGTTCGGGTGGACATTGACAATTTGTGGGTGGTTTGTTTTGTTGTTACCAAATATTCCACCTCCTCGTCATGTCCTTTTTCTATATATTTAGACACAAAGTCGTTGGAAATTGAGTAGATGGCACAGGTGTCTCATATGAAATGATGTCGAAACAATTTATTTCCCACGCCATAATTCGGAATGTATAACCTAAAAATATTTGGGATTCCTGAGGAATTGGATAGGGAGGGATTAGAAAGAAAGATTTTTTATAAATAGAATAGTCTTTGAAAATATATTTTTTTAGAAATCTAAGCATATGGTTTTAATAGTCCTTATTGAACAACTGTTCTTTAAAAATCCAAGTTTATAGGTCAGTAGGTCCTTGAAAAAATATTCTTAAAAAATTCACATTTTTTGAAAAAATATTCTTTAAAAATCCAATCCAAAAATTTATGGATCAGCTTGTCCTTGAAAAATACTCCCCGAAAATTCACGTTTCTTGAAAAAAAAATATTCGTTAAAAGACCACGTTTCGTATTCCATTTGTCTTTGATCCTTGAAAAAATGTGAGGTCTTTGGTCCTTGACAAAATATGTGGTCTTTAGTCCCTGAAAAATGTTTTTAAAAATCCGCATTTAAAGGTCTGTTGGTCTTGTCAAAATATCCCAAAGAAATTCAGGTTTAGAGGTCTCCTGGTCCTTGACAAAATATCCCAAAGAAATCCATGTTTGGAGATCTGTTGGTCCCTTATAAAAAATGCCAAAGAAATCCAGTTTTAGAAGTCTGTTGGTCCCTGAAAATATTGTTTAAAAGTTAACGATTAGTGGTATGATCAAAGATCTGTTGGTCCTTGAAAAAATATTTTTTAAAAATCCAAGTTTAGTGGTCAGTTAGTACTGAAAAAAATATTCTTTAAAAATCCACGTTTAGTAGTCAGTTAGTCCTTGAAAAAATATTCCTTAGAAATCCACGTTTAGTAGTCAGTTAGTCCTTGAAAAAATATTCCTTAGAAATCCACGTTTAGTGGTTTGTTGGTCCTTGAAAAAATATTCTTTAAAAATTCACGTTTAGTGGTTGGTTGGTCCTTGAAAAAATATTCTTTAAAAATTCACGTTTAGTCCTTGAAAAAATATTCTTTAAAAATTCACGTTTAGTCCTTGAAAAAATATTTTAAAAAATCCACGTTTAGTCCTTGAAAAAATATTATTTAAAAATTCACGTTTAGTCCTTGAAAAAAAAATATTCTCTAAAAATTCAGGTTTAGTCCTTGAAAAAATATTCTTTAAAAATTCACGTTTAGTCCTTGAAAAAATTTTCTTTAAAAATTCACGTTTAGTCCTTGAAAAAATATTCTTTAATAATTCACGTTTAGTCCTTGAAAAAATATTCTTTAAAAATTCACGTTTAGTCCTTGAAAAAATATTCTTAAAAAATTCACGTTTAGTCCTTGAAAAAATATTCTTTAAAATCCAAGTTTAGTCCTTGAAAAAATATTCTTTAAAAATTCAGGTTTAGTCCTTGAAAAAATGTTCTTTCAAAATCCACGTTTAGTCCTTGAAAAAACATATCTTTTAAAAATCCACGTTTAGTCCTTGAAAAAACATATCTTTTAAAAATCCACGTTTAGTCCTTGAAAAATATTATTTAAAAATTCACGTTTTGTCCTTGAAAAATATTCTTTACAAAAACACGTTTAGTCCTTGAAAAAATTTTCCTTTAGAAATCCACGTTTAGTCCTTGAAAAAATATTCTTTAAAAATCCACGTTTAGTCCTTGAAAAAATATTCTTTAAAAATCCACGTTTAGTCCTTGAAAAAATATTCTTTAAAAATGCAGGTTTAGTCCTTGAAAAAATATTCTTTAAAAATCTACATTTAGTCCTTGAAAAAATGTTCTTTAAAATCCAAGTTTAGTCCTTGAAAAAATATTATTTAAAAATCCACATTTAGTCCTTGAAAAAATGTTCTTTAAAAATCCACGGTTAGTCCTTGAAAAAACATATCTTTTAAAAATTCACGTTTAGTCCTTGAAAAAATATTATTTAAAAATTCACGTTTAGTCCTTGAATAATATTCTTTACAAAAACACGTTTAGTCCTTGAAAAAATATTCCTTTAGAAATCCACGTTTAGTCCTTGAAAAAATATTCTTTAAAAATCCACGTTTAGTCCTTGCCAAAAATTCTTTAAAAATCCAAGTTTAGTCCTTGAAAAAATATTATTTAAAAATTCACGTTTTGTCCTTGAATAATATTCTTTACAAAAACACGTTTAGTCCTTGAAAAAATATTCCTTTAGAAATCCACGTTTAGTCCTTGAAAAAATATTCTTTAAAAATCCACGTTTATTCCTTGAAAAAATATTCTTTAAAAATCCAAGTTTAGTCCTTGAAAAAATATTCTTTAAAAATTCAGGTTTAGTCCTTGAAAAAATATTCTTTAAAAATCCACATTTAGTCCTTGAAAAAATGTTCTTCAAAATCCACGTTTTGTCCTTGAAAAAATATTATTTAAAAATCCACATTTAGTCCTTGAAAAAATATTCTTTAAAAATTCACGTTTGGTCCTTGAAAAAATATTCTTTAAAAATTCACGTTTAGTCCTTGAAAAAATATTCTTTAAAAATTCACTTTTAATCCTTGAAAAAATATTCTTTTAGAAATCCACGTTTAGTCCTTGAAAAAACATATCTTTTAAAAATTCACGTTTAGTCATTGAAAAAATATTCTTTAAAAATCCACGTTTAGTCCTTGAAAACATATTCTTTAAAAATCCACGTTTAGTCCTTGAAAAAATATTCTTTAAAAATTCACGTTTAGTCCTTGAAAAATATTATTTAAAAATTCACGTTTTGTCCTTGAATAATATTCTTTACAAAAACACGTTTAGTTCTTGAAAAAATATTCCTTTAGAAATCCACGTTTAGTCCTTGAAAAAATATTCTATAAAAATTCACGTTTAGTCCTTGAAAAAATATTCCTTTAGAAATCCACGTTTAGTCCTTGAAAAAATATTCTTTAAAAATCCACGTTTAGTCCTTAAAAAAATATCCTTTAAAAATCCACGTTTAGAGGTCTGTTGAAATAAATATTCTTAAAAATATCCAAGTTCATTGGACTGTTGGTTCTTGAATCAATATCCTTAAAAAAATCCAAGTTCATTGGTCTGTTGGTTCTTGACAAAATATTCTTTAAAAAAACACGTTGAGTATTCCTTGCCAAAAATTCTTTAAAAATCCTCGTTTAGTGAACAGTTGGTCCTTCTAAACATATTCATTAAAAATTCACGATTAGTGGTCTTTTGATCCTTGAAAGAAATATTTTTTAAAAATGCACGTTAAGTGGTCTGTTGGTCCTTGAGAAAATAACCCACTATCAGGTTTAGGGGTCTGTTGTTACCTGGCAAAGTATCCCAAAGAAAACCAGTTTAGATATCTATTGGTCCGGAAAACATTCTTTAAAAATAAAAAAGAGAATATATTTTTTTATATAAACAAATACATTTATTAATAATTATTAAAGAAATTCTAAATTATTTATTATTACATTAGTTAAATTGTGAACAAAAAAAATTAATTGACTTTGGTTTATTGTTTATGCGCATATATGTGTGTGTGTGTGTGTGTCTTTTCTCTTCGTCTTAAAAACTAATTTCATATTCGTTTCGCCTCTCCATCGCACTATACAGGAAACTAAATATAAAATTTACTTATTAACTAATTACCTAAACAGAAAACTAAAATATTTACACAATTATATTGTAAATGTTTGCTTATAAACTAAAGAAAAATATTTATATGTATATAAAAATAACATATATAAATGTAAGATATCAAACTTGTTCTTTTATAAGACTCACATTGAAAAGCACATTTTGGACCATATTTAGTAAATTACAATATCACCCATTTACATTTACAGACAAAAAATATATTAGAAAATTAAAAAACAAACAAGAATTCGAATATATTCAATTAACAATTACATACATACAACTTATTATTTTTTAATGTCAATAAAAACTAGCTTTAAAGAGTTTAAGAACAATGACATATATTTTTTTTATTTTGATTTTAAACATTTTTATTTATTTTTGTTTTTTGTTTTTTTTTTTTTTTTTCAATAAATTTATTTAATTATTTTCTTCTTATAACTTCTTTGCCTTTGTGGGGGTGTGCAGCGATCGTATCACATCGAAACGCAAAAACAGACGTTTGACCAGGAAATATATCAGATATAGGGAGATCAAATATAAAACAGCGACATCTATTAGATAGTATTGTAACCAACTGTAGGGGATGAAATAGAAGCAATTATTAAAAAAAAAATTAAGAATTAAAATTAATCTCTCTCTCTTTACTTACTTCATATTACGTGCGGGCGATTGCAGATGATAGGCACCCTTGTGTCGCAGCACATATTCGGTCCAATAGACCGATGTCTCCAACGGTGTGGTACGTTGATCCAACAGCAAACGTTGACGGAATCTGTAAAATAAATTGCGAGAAGTGTAATTTGTTGTTTTTTAAATTTATTACTTAATCTTTTGTTAACAAATACATTATGGTACTTTTATTTGTAATGTATATTATATTCGAAAGTAGCATACGTAAACCTATATTTCTGAACTCCTAAAAATATGCAATGATAAAGTGCGATATTTTATAATAACAGTGGTCATATACATTGTTTGTACAGTACAACACTTGTGATTGTCAATTGTGTTATAATCAGGGATGCCATTTCTGAATATGTTTGTTGATTGGCCTTTTTATACCCTCCACCATATTATGGAGAGTATATTAAGTTTGTCATTACGTTTGTAACACCTCGAAATATGCATTTTATACCCCACAAAGTATATATATATATTCTCGATCAGCATAAAATTCTATGTCGATTAAACAATGTCCGACCGTCTTTCCGTCTATCCGTCTGTGGAATCACTCTACCATCCGGACGAAATAAAGTATGTTGATAAAAATTTACACAAATGTGTATTATGTCTGCAGAGCTTTTGGTATTGAAAATGTAGGTCGACGTTTTAGTATAGCCCCCATATAACGTAACCTCCCGATATACGGTTTTTGAAGATTTTAGCGACATTATTTACCGAAATTGTTTCAAAATTGGTATTTGAAGTTTGTAATAGATACTACAGTATAAGACAGAAAATGGACCATGTAGGTCCACGTCTTCGTACAGCCCCATATAACGGTTCCCTTCGATATTCGGTACTTTGATGATTATAGCGACATTATTTACCGGAATCATTTCAAATTTTGTATTTGAAGTTCGTAGTAGATACTACAGCCCATGCCAGAAAATTGTCTGTGCAGCCTTATGACAAAAGTTGCGTATGCAGCTCCACGTCGTCGTATAGACTCTAATATACGACTACATGGATTATTTTATGGATTTTAATTTTTTGAAGATTGCCAAATTTGTATCAAATGGTGGAGGGTATGTAATGTTCGTCCCGGCCGAACTTATAGCTTTTTTTACTTGTTTTTCCAAGTTTCGCATTGGAATATTGTAATAGTTTATAACAAAATTTGCTTATGCAGAGCCTACATTCGGTACTTTTATGATATTAAATGAATTTTTAACCGAATTTTAACCCGACCGAATTTGTTTACTTTTTTTCATAGGTATGAACATTTAATAATTCTTTGGTTTTGCCGACAGATGTATACCCTCACTATTATGATTATTCAAACTGTTGAACATTTATGGAGGAATTTCCAAAGGAGTGAGCCAATATTGTCCATTTCGTATCAGACTAATATAAATGTGCTAGGTTTGGGCTATATCGACTACTTCATTTACCTTTACATGAGAAATGTAGTAGTTTTTTTTTTTTTGCAAAATTATATAGTGGACCGAAGTATTCCACTTCATCTCATATGAACAAGTAAAAAAGCAGCTATGTTTGGCCGGGCCGAACTTTTTATACCCTCTACCATTCGAAAGGAACATGAAAATTAAAAAAAACAAAACGACAAAAAATACCGCTCAAATGAAAACCTTTATATAGAAGATATACAAAGGCGTGGTGTTGCATAAGTAATTTTTGTCATAGTCTGTAGTAACAATTCCGAACTTTAAATACGAAATTTAAAACAGTTCTGGTGAATAATGTCACTAAAATCATCAAAATACCGAATATCGGGAGGTGGTGTTATATGGGGGCTATGTGAAGGAGTGGGCCTGCACGGACAATTTTCTGTCATAGGCTGTAGTATCCATTACGAACTTCAAATAACAAATTTAAAACATTTCCGGTGAATATTGTATTTAAGCGACATTATTCACCGGAAATGTTTTAAATTTGTTATTTGAAGTTCGTAATAGATACTACAGCCTATGACAGAAAATAACAAAAATATGGGGACTTTACCAAAAGGCCCATTTTCAATACCAAAAGTACTGCAGACATAGTATACATTTGAGTAGAATTATCAATCTACTTCATTTCGTTCGGAAGCTAGAGTGATTTCCACAGACTGGCCGTATCAAATTATATATACCCTCTGAAACCATATGGCTTAGGGTATAAAAAATCGCGAGGTTTGTTAATGCACAAGGTACAATGAGACCCCGTAGCATTGTCATCGTCTCCAATGATAAACAAGTAAAAAGCTGTGAATTAGGCCGGGCCGAACTTTTAATACCCTCCTCCATTTGGAACGAATTTGGCAATTTTCAAAAAAATAAAATCCATTAAAAATGCTGTTAAAATCTAACAAATAACGAATATAGTCATTGTTTTAGGGTCTCGACGACGATGTGGACCTGCATAGGCAACGTTTGTCATAAGCCATTACAATATTCACGTGCGAAAATTGAAAAAAAATCGGTGAATAATGTAATCAAAATACCGAATATAGAGAGGTACTATTATATACCAAAACGTAGACCTGCGCAGACAATTTTCTGTCATAGGCTGTAGTATCCATTATGAACTTCAAATACCAAATGTGAAACAATTCCGGTGTATAATGTTGCTAAAATCATCAAAATACAGAATATCGGGAGGTACCATTGTATGGGGGCTATGCGAAGACGTAGACCTACATGGCTCATTTTCTGTCTTTGGCTTTAGTATCCGTTACGAACTTCAAATTTCAAACATTTCTGGTGAATAATGTCGCTTAAATCACCAAAATACCGAAAAAGGGAGGTACCGATATATATGGGGGCTATACCAAAACCAACCTACTTCATTTCGTTCAGAAGCTAGAGTGATTTTCGCATATGGACGGATATCGCTAAGTCGACATAAAATTGTATGCTGATCAAGAATATATATATACTTTGTGGGGTCTAAAATGTATATTTCGAGGCGTTACAAACGGAATGAAAAATCTAATTTACCATACTATGGTGGAGGGTAAAAAAATATCCAAACATAAAAACCTGAATTGACAACTCTGCTTCGAAGACGCGTGAAATAAAATTGTGTTCCATTTTATGTTTAGCTTTGGTGGGCAGAAACGTAGTGATGCCTAAAAGTATGCTTATATTTTTAAATGTGGTATTATCTTTGTAATAGATTTAATTATAACAGTTTATAACACATGTTGCCACTACAGTATCTAGGCACTAATATTGTTACAAATCACAGTAAATAATCTAGGAATTCGAATTTAAAAAATAATGAAAAATAATTTAAAGAATATTTCCTTGCTTACCTTGCCGCATTTCTATACTGAGGATCGTGGATGACTTTCATGATCGATTTGTATAACTGACCCGCCGACAATGTTGCCAAATCCAATTTAATGGCATAGCCATCCACCTGAGCCTTGGCCGAATTGACATCATGATCACAGAAGACGGGCATGGTTACCACGGGCACACCATGATACACCGTCTCATACATGCTCAGCAGACCACCATGTGTTACAAAGGCCCTTAGTTTGGGATGGCCCAAAATATCCTGTTGTGGCAACCAACGACTAATTTTGACATTTTCCGTTAGACCCTCAATTTCCCCAGCACTGCCTTCATATTTCCACAGAACATGGTAGGGTAGGCGGGCGAAAGTTTGCACCAACAGACGACGTAGGGTCTTTGGCATATTTGCTGCTTTCACTGAAGAACCCATGGAGACATAGATGAAACCAGATTCTCCAGCGGAGGTAATGAAATCTTCGAGGTCCTTGGGTAAAGGCTTAGCTGGTTTGCAGTGGATGCAGGCCACCTCGGCCACATTGGGATTTAGGGAGCGTGGATAGGAGACCACGGCATGGCCATTTTGTAAAATAAAGCTGACATTTTTGGAAATTTCATAGGGATGGGGTATTTGATGGCCCAAGCGTTGCTTCATCACACGATACACACAGGCCATGACAAACTGCAAGGAAACGAAAAATTTCCAACAATAACAACAACAACAAAAGTTAAATTCAAATTGGACTCACCTGATGCATTAAATCCGAAAATATTTGTATGCCCGTATTGGCTGCCCTCTCCAGAAGATTCATGTTGTCCGTAAATGTCGTATAGAAATTTGGGGTGACAGCATACGACCCTGGATTACCCGAAATCGAAAGGCTGCCCGTGTAGAACCCAACCGTATTCATGTACATAAAAGGTATTTTGTATTGATACACCATGCCGAGGGCACACTCCGGATAGGCTCCATCGAGTATGGCCAAGTCGAAATTACGATTCATCAAAGCCTGGGTTTCTGCATCCTCCAACATTGCATCGCAAGACTGAAATGATCCAAGGGAAAAAATGAAAAGAAATAAAATTTTAATGGATTTTCCACGAGCTCATGGCGAAAAAAGCTGCAAATGACCAGTAAAGCAACAACCTTGAACTGCCATAAAACGTACATACAATGGACGATGAACTGTTCGATGGCAAATAAAAACGTGTTTGAACAACTTGTTGCCTCAACATGTGCATACGTATTGCTTGGTTTCAAACCACATGTCTGTCAGTCATAGTTAAGCAAAAATCAAGTTTTAGAGGAATTTTAACAGAGAAAGAATAGGATTCTCTTGAATCTCTCTCCTCGTGCTTGAGCGAAAATTAGGATTTAACAGTTGGTAAACACGTAACAAAGAAAAAATTATTTTGAATACCCTTCTGGGAATTAAAAACATATCGAAAATTCACACCTTTTATATCGAACCTATGGGCTGCGAAGCGAGTGATTTTCGATTCCAAAAATAGGTTGGCACTAAAACATGCCAAAATATCGATCACCTCAAGCAAGCGCTTCGCCGGGAATGGGCCAAAATACCGACAGAGCAACATTCGGGCAGCGTGTGACGGTTTCATTTGCCGTTTGAAGGCCATAATTCGTGCCAAAGGTGACCAATTCGAATAAATCTAAACTTATTCTAAAATTAGACATTTTTTGCTTTCATTCAATAAAATTATGGCGTTTGACTTTGTTGCAGTTTTTTTTATCTCACCCTGTGTATGTAATATCAGCCGAAATTGAATAGATTTTTTTCATAAGCAACCGAATTTAAACGAAGTCATATCATGCACATATACAGCAATGTTATTTGGTTCATAGTTGATATGATTTACTCTACATAAATTCCCAATATAAACTTTTTGGTTTTTGGGGTGTAGGGTATCACATAGTTGGCCCCGCCCTGCCTTACTGTTTTTATACCCTCCACCATACTATTGAGGGTATATTAACTTTGCCATTCCGTTTGTAACTCCTCGAAATACTCATGTCAGACCCAACAAAGTACATATATTCTTGATCAGCGTAAAATCCTAAGTCGATTTAGCCATGTCCGTCTGTCTGTCTGTCTGTCTGTCCGTCTGTTGTAATCACGCTATCTTTCGAACGAATTGAGATAGAAGGCTAAAATTTTGCGTACGTGTTTATTTTAACAGTAGGCAGGTTAAGTTCGTAAATGGGACATGTAGGTCCACGTTTTCATATAGCCCCCTATAACGGCACCTCCCAATATTCGGTATTTTATTGATTTAAACGTTATTATTCACCGGAATTGTTTCAAATTTGGTATTTGAGATTCGTAATGTATACTACAGCCTATGACAGAAAATTATCTGGGCAGGTCCACGCCTTCGTATAGCCCCCATATAACGGTACCTCCCGATATTCGGTATTTTGATGATTTTAGCGACAGTATTAACCGGAATTGTTTCAAATTTCGTATTTGAAGTTCGAAATGGATACTAAAGCCTATGACAGAAAATTATCTGGGCAGGTCCACGTCTTCGTATAGCCCTCATATAACGATACCTTCCGATATTCGGTATTTTGATGATTTTAGCGACATTATTAACCGGAATGGTTTCAACTTTCATATTTGAAGTTTGAAATGGATACTACAGCCTATGACAGAAAATTATCTGTGCAGGTCCAGGTCTTCGTATAGCCCCCATATAACGGTACCTCCAAAAATTCGGTATTTTAATGATTTTAGCGCCATTATTCACCGGAATTGTTTAAAATTACGTATTTAGAGGTCGTAATGGGAACTACAGTCTGTGATAGAAAAGTGCCTATGCAGGTCCAGGTCTTCGTATAGCCCCCATATAACGGTACCTCCCTATATTCGGTATTTTGACGAGTTTAGGTACAATACCCACCGAAATTGTTTGAGACATCGCATTTGACGTTAGTAATGGATGCTATAGCCTGTGACAGAAAATTGTCTATGCTGGTCCAGGTCTTCGCACAGCTCCGATATAATGGTACCTCTCTATATACGATATTTTGATGATTTTAGCTACATTATTCACCGTTTATTTCAAGTTTTGAATTTGAATATGGTAATGGCTAATGGCAAACAGTGCCTATGTCGGCCCACGTCGTATAGACCCCAATTTAAAGGCAATATTCGGTATTTTTAAAATTTAATATAATTTTTTAAGGATTTTATTTTTTTTTTTAAATTTCCAAATTCGTTCCAAATGGTGGAGTGTATTCAAAGTTTGGCCCGGCCGAACTTACTGCTTTTTAACTTGTTTTTATACCCTACAACACTATGTGTTGGGGGTATTATAAGTTTGATTGGGCCAGAATTTATGTAACACCTCGAAATATTGGTTTCCCATATAGGGAAGTATATATGGATCTTCCTAGCTCGCCGAGCTGAGTCTATCTAGCTATGTATGTCCGTCCGTCCGTCTGTCCGTCTGTCCATGTTAATTTGTAATCACTCTACAGGTCACAATTATGGCCCGATCTTCAAGAAATTTAGAATGAAGGTGGGGCTAAGGTCAGAATAGAACCCTATTGCTTTTGGAGATGATCGCCAAATGTTTAGGGGTTGAAATGGACCAAATACTAAAAAAATGTCGGATTTTGCAGTAGCTATACAGGTCGCAATTATAGACCAATCGACGCGGAATTTCGGATGTAGCTAGAGTTTAGGGAAGAAGCCTACCAATTTTGATGGTCATCGGATAATATTTAGCGGGTAAAATATACCATATCTTTTTTGTTGAAAAAATTCAAAATTTTTCATTAAACCGCGAATATTTTAAATCCCGGCGAAATCACAAAGCCATGACAAGGTTACTTCTGATCTTTACATTGATGTTAAATCGGATATATATCAAAATATGTGCGATATATATGTCTATCAAAGAAGATATGCTTGAAAGATCTCATATATGTATGTATGCTGAACTGATTTCGACAGTTCTCATTAATTCAGAACGGCCTCTTGGCAGGAAAGAAAAAACGTCTAAAAAATCGCATAACAATGTCTCTCTAAAGATGAAAATATTGATTGAAATTTTGCATGGGGATAAGATGAGGGTCAGAATAGAAGCCTACTCTTTTTGGAAATGATCGCCATATATTTAGGGGTTGAAATGGACCAAAAACTGCAAAATTGTCAGCAGGTCGTAATTATCGCCCGGTCCTCACGCACATTTGAATGGGGGTTACCGGACATTGCAAAAGCCAAGCAGTTTTGGATGGCCATCCAAAAATATTCAATGTGTGAAGGAGTTTGCCAAAGACGCACTTCCGACTATTTCGTTGAAGAATATAGTCAAATGGCTGTATCTCATATAGATGCGTTTCAGTCAAAAACCAATAATAAATGTTAATCTTTTGCCACTTCTGAGAGATTATAGGTCTTTGGGAAATTTTGGTTCCAGGTCTATGAAGACCATTTAAGTGCAACATTTACCAATAAATTGGAAATGAGCAAATTAGTTTAAGTTGCTATTATTCGAAAATTAGAGAACGAAACCTGATGGTTTTCTTTTATTATTTGTCACTATATCTTGTGGAATTCTTTCGAGTATATCGCCTATATAAACTGTATCATTTATTATAGTGTTGTTATATAAACTGTATCATTTATTATAGTGTATTCAACGGTCGGCCCCGCTCGTCTATAGCACTTGCTTACTTGTTTTTTTTTTTTTAAATTTGTAATTTGGAATCTTTTTTAGTCATTATCTTCGACGGTTAGTTGTTTCTGAGTGAAGTGTATAAGTTTGATTAGAATTTAATTATAGGCTTTATGAAACGCATTAATATTTTACAAAAAAAAATATAGTTTTCAAAAGCAATTTTTTAAAAATTTAAAAAATCAAAAATTTCTAAAATATTTTTAGGGACTATCAATGTGGAATTTTTATAAGTGTTTTTAGCCACCTATCATATGTCCATTAACCTGGCACATTTTTTAAATTGCTATTCACTTGCATTTCAATTTGTCATTGTCATTCGTTCACGTAATTCACGTAATTTCTCTAATGACCATTTTAAGATTTCACATATACATATATATATAATATATGTATATATGTGTATTTTTTTTTAATTTTTCAACTTTTCTGTTTTGTCACTGTCACACTCACCTGGAATGCATAACGTATGCCATCCCATACGGAGATTGGCATTTCACCTGACATTCGTGCCCCCACCAAATCCCAGTTGGTATAATTCTGTATATACTCAACGAGACCGGAGGGCGTTACCTCGTGCAGGCCATCAATGTGGAAATCGGAGGGAAAACCACTTAGGAAAGTTATGTTGTGACCCCTGCAATTGAGAAAGAGAGCGCAATTAAAGAGAGATTAACACTTGTGAAGTAATACGAAAACAGTTTTGAAAAAAAAAAAATTTAAAAACAAAACATAATTAATCCAATTAGAAATGCCCCCAAAGACACCTTAGAAATAAACAAAGAAAGAGCAAATGTCAACAAAACAATTACTTAATTAAGTCATTTGACAGGTTTGTTTTATAAACAGGTTAACAGGTCTGTCACATGTCACTTAAACATTGTGTAAATGAGTGAGTAACGAATTTAATATTTTCTTCCAAAATCATTTCAACTATTTTTTTAATAAAATTGAATTAGTTGTCACGTACCATTACAAAAAAAAAATAATATTTTTTATTTATTTATCCACCCGTGATTTATTTCCTTATTTCTTTTCAATTTTTTTTTGATGAACAATTTCATTTGAATTGCAATTTATTATCATAATGGCCTTTGTTAGATTCAAAGAATGGACATCCCTTTGTATGGCATGACAATTCGAAAAAATATTATTGATTTGAATTCTTTTGTGTGATTCTGACGTGATGGTTACATTTAGGATAATGACCTCCAAAAAAATTATTTTTAAACCAGTAAAGAAAGTCTTAATGTCGGGCGGAGCCGAATTTATGATAGATAGAGCTCCACATAACAATTAAAAGTTTTTATGGGAGAATACAATCAAATACGCTGTGATAATAATTATAATTTAAAGTGCAAGAGACCAAGTATGCCGAAGCATTTGTATCTTTTAAATTCGGACTTGTATTGCCCATTTGATATATATATATATATATATATATATATATGGGAGCTATATCCAAATCTGAACCGATCTTGATAAAATTTGGCAAAGATATTTCTGAGCTGTATTTGATATATTTCCCCCAAAATATTGTTGTTACAAATCGGATGAACAATATATATGGGAGCTATAGCTATATCTGAACCGATCTTCATCAAATTTGACATACCAGCTTCTAGACTCAATTCGGTTGTAAGTGCCAAATTTCATCCTATTTAGGTAAATATTAGACGTTTAGTGCACAATAAAAATTATATGGGACGAAGTTATATATGGGAGATATATCCAAATCGGAACCGATCTCGATAAAATTTAGCAAAGGTATTTCTGAGCTGTATTTGCTATATTTCCCTGAATATCGTTGATACGGAGTTCATATTACGGCTGTGGGTAACAAATACAACAAATCGGATGAAAAATATATATGGGAGCTATAGTTATATCTGAACCGATCTTCACCAAATTTGACATACTAGCTTCTAGACTCAATTCGGTCGTAAGTGCCAAATTTCATCCCATTTGGACAAATATTAGACGTTTGGTGCACAATAAAAGGTAAATCGGACGAAGTTATACATGGGAGATATATATCCAAATCCGAACCGATCTCGATAAAATTTAGCAAAGGTATTTCTAAACTGCATTTCGTATATTTCCCTAAATATTGCTGTTACAGAGTGCATATTACGGTTGCGTAGGACTAAAATAACAAATCGGATGAACAATATATATGGGAGCTATAGCTATAGTCGAACCGATTTCGATTAAATTTTTTCGTACTAATTTTCAGGCCTACTTTTGTTGTATGTGCAAATACTGCCATACTATTCGTGCTGATATTACACGTTTGGTGCACAATAAAAGGCAAATCGGACGGGAGCTATATCTAAATTTTTACCGATTATCTCCCATTTCAATAGAGTTCGTCCTTGGGCCAAAGAAATGATTTGTGAAAAATTTCATCTGGATCGGGTAATAAATGCGAACTGTACTTTGTTCACAAAAATACATGGACAGACGGATGGACTTGCATAAATCGACTCAGAATGTGATTCTTTTTTCGTACCCTTTGGCCTGTTACAAACAAATGCACAAAGACATAATACCCTGACCACCTTGTGGTGTAGGGTATAAAAATGCCATTAACAATGCGTTGGTGTCTTAAGTCTTTTGTTTTTTACACACATTTACGGAGAATTTTTTTATACCCTCCACCCTATATGCATATATATATATATATATATATATATATATATATATATATATATATATATATATATATATATATATATATATATATATATATATATATATCAGCGTAAAATTATAAGACGATCTAGTGATGTCCGTCTGTTGTAATCACGCTATCTTTCGAACGAATTGAGATAGAAACCTAAAATGTTGCCTACATGCATAGTTTACCAGTAGGCTGGTTAAGTTCGTAAATGGGCCATGTCGGTCCACTTTTTCGTATAGTCCCCATGTGACGATACCTCCCGATATTCGGTATTCTCATGACTTTATTTACCGGAATTATTTCAAATTTCGTATTTAATGTTCGTAATGGGTACTACAGCCTATGACAAAAATTTTCCAATGCAGATCCAAATCTTCGTATAGCTCCTATATAACGGTACCTCCCGATATTCGGTATTTTGATGATTTTAGGGACATTTTTCACCGATATTGTTTCAAATTTCATATTGGAAGATCTTAATGGATACTACAACCTGTTGCAAACGATTTCGTATGCTGGTCCACATTTTCGTATAACCCCCATATACCATACCTCCCGATACTCGGTATTTTAATGATTTTAGCCACATTATTCACTGTTACAAATTTCGTATTTGAAGTTCGTAATGAGTACTACAGCCTATCACAAAAAATTTCGTAAGCAGGTCCACGTCTTCCTATAGTCACCATATAACGGTTTTCATTTAAATGTTAGTTTTCGGATTTTTTTTTATTTTTTTTTTTGTGAAAATTTTCAAGTTTCTTCGAAATAATGGAGGGTATTAAAAGTTCGGCCCGATTTTATAGGCTATCAGGGTCCAAAAGGCCATTAAACATTGATTTTTTAAGAACATTTCTCCAAGGGCTTAAAAAGCGCGTTCGTGTCTTAAGTCTTTTGTTTTTTCACACACATATAACCCTTGTTTTTTTTTAAGAATATTTTTTAAAGACCAACATAGTCAATGTACCACTTAATTTGTACGAAAAGTACTAAAATATACAAAAAAATAAATAATTTTTATTGGGCAAACGGGATGAGCTAGGAATTTGGAAACCAAAGGGTTTTTGGAAATTCAAACTTTAAGGTTACGAAAAAGTTGTAAAATCGTACTAAATTTCTAAAATGGTGTCATTTGGTATTACGTGAACGGATAGAGCTAAACACTTGAAATTTGGCATAAGATTTAAGTTAAGTTAATTGGATATCTGAATATAGTTATAAAAATTTCTACTAAATTTTTTCTTGTCAAGATCTCAGCCAATACATTCTAACTACTTTATTGGTTCATACAAATTAGAACATGTTGATTCCTTTACTGACCTCGGTGTTATTCTAGACCCTAAACTACGTTTTCATTTACATATTGACTCATGTGTTAATAAAGCCAAATCTTTACTAGGTTTTATAAAACGCTGATCTAAAGAGTTCGATTGATGATGTCACCAAAAGACTATTTGTAAGTTTAGTTCGCCCAATATTAGAGTACGGATGTATTCTGTGGAGTCCTTTTTATAAATGCTACTCAGATAAAATCGAATCAGTTCAAGTTCAATTCCTGATTTTTGCTCTGCGGGGCCTTAACTGGAACCCGTCAGTATTACTTCCACCTTACGAAAATCGTTTACTGTTAATTGATCTCCCAACACTTGAAAGGAGACGGTTTATGCTAAGAGCGTTATTTATTATTAAATTAACACGCGGTTTGATTGATTCTCATTTTTTAACTGGGGAAGTAACTTATAATATTCCTTCTCGTAGAACTCGTTATTTCGAACCTTTAAAGTTATCTCTCGCAAGAACTAATTTCGCAATCAGTAACCCATTGAGATCCTTATGTGTAATTTACAATAGTCTATGTAATAGTATTTGTTTAAGTAATTCGTTGAACTCTATTAAAAAAATCTATTCTCCATATGTGATTGTTTATGTTCACTTACCTATTTTTTAATTTAAAAAGCTCATTTTTGCGGCACCAAATCTACATCTCCCTTTGCGGAACCAGTAGACCCAGCCTTTGAGCACTACCTGCCAGAATCTTTAAGTTCATTTTAACGGCACCTAGTCTACAATTCCCTTTGCGGAAACAATAGACACCAGCCTTTGAACAGTAGTATTTGTTTAACATATTATTTTCACTGTTATTTGTTTATATTTGTTATAATTGTTATATGTGTTGCTCTAATTCCTTTCTCAGTAATGTATTTTTACCTATTTTTTTGCCGGCTGATGTACTACACTGTAGCTGGCACCACTAACTCTCAACTAACCCACCTTTCCCGGTCTTTGGTGTGTACGCGCTCCCTACGTATGGGGAGGTCGCCCCCGCGGTCGGTAGGGGTGGGAGTGAGAGGCGTGGGAACGAACGAACAAAAAAAAAAAAAACGTGCGAAATGTCCAGAATGGTACTAAATTTGGAACAGTTTGGTTTAGGGTGAACGGGTGAAGGTGAAATTTTGTATTGGGATACCTGTTGGTTTATGGCAGGTTTGTGATAAAGAGGTGGTTTTGGAAATGTGCACAAAAAGTACTAAACAGTGCCATATTTGGTACAATTTGGTATTGAGTGAACAGATAGTGCTTGAAAGTTGATATTTGGTATTAGGGTCACTACTCATGTCTATCCTGGACAAATCGAGGTGGTTTCGGGAATGTGTACTAAAATTGTACGAAAAGTAGTGAATGGTACTATATTAGGTTTTTGGGTGAAGAAGCAGATACAAAATTCTGAAATTTAATATTTACATTACAGATGATATCAGTGTTTGAGATTTGGAGGAGGTTTTTGAAAAGTTCAACATAATTGTACGAAAAGTACTAAATGTTACTACGTTTGGTATTGGATGAAGGGATATTGATACAATTCTGAAATTTGATACGTAGATTACTTAATTATAGTATCCGTGTTTGAGATTTGGAGGGGGTTTTTGAAAAGTGTACTATAATTGTACGAAAAGTACTAAATACGGAGATACGGAGGTGACTTGTTTGAAAAATACTAAATAAAACAAAATTTGGTATAGGGTGAAGGGAAAGATATAAAATTCTGAAATTTGATGTTTAGATTACTGATGGTATCGGTGTTTGAAATTTGGCGGTGAATAGCGCCAAACGCCGTGAAGGGATAGTGCTGGAATTCTAAAATATTATAATAGTAGGAAAAGTACTTGTACAAAATGGTACTAAATTTGGTCTTTTTTGAAGGGATAGAGATCAAATTTTAAAATTTAATATTTAGATAAACGTTGGAAAATGGAGGTTCATATTTGGAGATGGGTTGGGAAATGAGTACTACAGTTGTTCGAAACGGACTAAATAGTACTAAATTTTGTATTAGGTGAAATTCAGAATTTTTATATTAAGGTTATTGTTGATATCTGGTATTGAGATATAGAAGCGGCTATGGAAGTAGGTATTATAATAGTACGAATTAGTGGACACTTGCTAGTATTTTTATATTTTTATTTAAGAGTCAGAGTCGCAATAGTGGATTTTTAAGAATATTTTTCAAGACCTTCCGACCACCAAATGTGGATTTTTTAGAAATATTTTTGGATTTTAGATACTCAAACCCTCAAAATAAAAGTGAATTCTGTAGAAAACTTTTTAAGGTCCAACTCACCAACAAGCGTGAATATTAGAGGGATATTTTTTCAAGGAACAATAGATCACATGACGTGAATATATTTAATGAATATTTTTTTAAGCACCGGATTTTTTAGGAATATTTTTGTGGTCCACAAATCGTAGATTTTTTAGCAATATTTTTTAAGGACCAAAGTGTTTATTTAAAGAAAATTTTTAAGGACCAACGTTGATATTTAAATAGATTTTTTAAAGATCACTTAACGTGGACTTTTTAAGTACCAGCAGACCACCAAACCTGGTTTTAAAAACTATTATTTCAAAGATCAACAATCCCCCAAACTTAAATTTCAAAAAAAAAAAAAATACTTTTTTCATAAATAATGAAAAAACAAGTAAAAAAGCGAACTTTTAATACCCTCCACCATTTGAAAGGAACCTGATAAATTTCAAAAAAAAAAACCGAAAGCTAACACTTAAATGAAAACCGTTATATGGGGACTCTAAGAAGACGTGGACCTGCATATGAAAATTTTTGCCATAAGTTTTAGTACCCTGCGTACCAATTTTTTGCCATAGGTTGTAGTACTCATTAGGATCTTATAGTACGAAATTTGGAATGATTCCGCTGAATAATGTTGCTGAAATCATCAAAATACGGAATATTGGGAGGTACGAAGACGTGGTTCTGCATACCGTTTTTTTTTTTTTGTCATAGGTTGTAGTACCTATTAGGATTTTCCAGTACGAAATTTGGCACGATTCCGGTGAATAATGTTGCTGAAATCATCAAAATACCGAATATCGGGAGGTACTACTATATGGGGGCTATTCGAAGACGTGGACCTGCTTATGATTTTTTTAGACTGTAGTACTAATAACGAACTTTAAATATCAAATTGGAAATATTTCCGAAGACGTGAAGCTGCTTATGATTTTTTTTAGGCTGTAGTACTCACTACGGACTTTAAATATGACATTTGCAATAATTCCGGAGAGAAACAAATATATTAAGAGCTTTTCGACAAATCAACAAGGGTTTTTTTATAGAATATTTTTACAAAGAACACCAGAGCTATTAAATTCGATTTTCTAATTGAGTTTCAGTTAATGAAGAAATGATAATCTCTAAAAATTTTAAAAACTTACCTCTCTATTAGCCCCTTGGCTAATTCCCAAAAGGGAATTTTGTGTGACTTGGTACCGCCCATGGTGACCATTAATATCTCCGCCGAGAAACAACTCCCCACACACAGCAGAAATATTGAAGAAACTATTAACGAATTCATGCTAAAAAGAAAAAAAACACACACACAAACAAACAAAACATTAAAAATATTTTTAATTTTTAATTATTGTAAAATTATAAGAAAATAGTACAACAATTATATATTGCATACTGACCTCTTGAGAAATCGAGAAACAACAAGAACTCGATGAAATAACCTATGAGACACAAAAACTCGTTTCGTTACCCAAGTCGAACATAGGTCGAGCAAAGAATGATTTCCAAAAAACTGAGACTGTTTTGTGAAAAACAAATTTTCTTTTATCGCACGAAACGAATCTGAGTTTTTTCGCCATACCATGCAAAGCAAATGAAAAAAATACTAAACGCCACAACAACAGCAACAACATCGCATTTCGGTTTAATTGACCATGACCAATGTGATGGCGGTTGTTGCCACCACTACTGGTTTTGGCTCCATTATTCGAGAATCGACAAAAACAGCAATAACAACCTGATATTATCAAATGGAAATTTCGTTGTTGTTACGAACATTTTTTTGGGGTAAACTTTTAAATTTTTTGGCTTAATTTCAGTTTAAGTGCATCCAAAATCCAAAAAATGCCTAGCAGCACAACAACAACAATAATTACATGTGTGTTGTTGCTTTCAAGTTGGCCATATACATATGTGTGTGCAACATGTTACGTTTCAATTCGGCACCAGTTCAAGGGAGTCCATCATGTTCAACATACATCAAGTTTTTGGATTTTCATATAAATCCAAAAAAAAAAAATGAAAACTAACTGAAATTAAACCTGACACAACTAAATCACAGTGGGATGGAAAATACCAAATGGGGAAAAGATTTTTATCGGAAATGATTTGAAGTCAAAACGAGGATTTTGTAGAAATATTTTTGAGCGATCCTTTCGGGGATACATATGAGGATTTTTTTAGAATATTTTTAAAGGACTTGTAAAAAATATTTTTAAGTAGGACCATAAGACCACTAGACGTGGGTTTTTAAGGAATATTTTTTCAAGGATCAAAAGACTACAAAACGTGTATTTTTAAGGAATATTTTTTCAAGGATCAAAAGACTACAAAACGTGGATTTTTAAGGAATATTTTTTCAAGGATTAAAAGACTACAAAAAGTGGATTTTTAAGGAATATTTTTTCAAGGATCAAAAGACTACAAAAAGTGGATTTTTAAGGAATATTTTTTCAAGGATCAAAAGACTACAAAAAGTGGATTTTTAAGGAAAATTTTTTAAGGAACATTTTTTTCAAGGATCAAAAGACAACTTAACTTTGATTTTTAAGGAATATTTTTTTATGGAATATTTTTTTAAGTATCAAAAGACATCTAAACGTGGATTGTTAAGGAATATTTTTTCAAGGATCAAAAGACTACAAAACGTGGATTTTTAAGGAATATTTTTTCAAGGATCAAAAGACTACAAAAAGTGGATTTTTAAGGAATATTTTTTATGGAACATTTTTTTCAAGGATCAAAAGACAACTTAACTTTGATTTTTAAGGAATATTTTTTTATGGAATATTTTTTTAAGTATCAAAAGACATCTAAACGTGGATTGTTAAGGAATATTTTTTCAAGGATCAAAAGACTACAAAACGTGGATTTTTAAGGAATATTTTTTCAAGGATCAAAAGACTACAAAAAGTGGATTTTTAAGGAATATTTTTTAAGGAACATTTTTTTCAAGGATCAAAAGACAACTTAACTTTGATTTTTAAGGAATATTTTTTTATGGAATATTTTTTTAATGATCAAAAGACAACTAAACGTGGATTGTTAAGGAATATTTTTTCAAGGAATATTTTTTCAACGATCAAAAGACAACTTAACTTGGATTTTTAAGGAATATTTTTTCAAGAAATATTTTTTAAGGAATATTTTTCAAGAAATATTTTTTAAGGAATATTTTTCAAGAAATATTTTTTAAGGAATATTTTTTCAAGCATCAAAAGACAACTTAACGTGAATTTTTAAGGAATATTTTTCCAAGGATCAAAAGGCAACTAAACGTGGATTTTTTAGGAATATTTTTTCAAGGAATATTTTTAAGGAATCTTTTTTTAAGGATTAAAAGACAACTTAACTTGGATTTTTAAAGAATATTTTTTCAAGGTTCAAAAGACTACAAAACGTGTATTTTTAAGGAATATTTTTTTCAAGGATCAAAAGACTACAATTTTTTTTTTAATTTTTTAAGAAATATTTATTCAAAGACCGGTCTATTGGTCCTTGGATATTTAAAGAATATTTTTTCAAGGACCAAAAGCCCATTAAGCGTAGATTTTTAAATAATTATTTTTCGAAGGTCTTTCTGATATATCAACAAGCATTTCTTTCGGGGGACTATTATCGACTTAGATATCTCAGAATATTTTCCAAGGACAATCATAGCACTTGGATTTTAAAGAGCAATCTGTCGCATCATCCTAAACAAGACTACTTTAACAATCTACTATCTGACCTATCAACATGTACTTTAATGGAACAGTTTAAAGGATGTGTTTCATTGGACCTTCAGACCCACAAGGTAGGACTTTTCAAGAATATTTTCATCAAAAGACAATCTGCCATTTAAATTTGAGTTTTTCAATTTTTTATTGAAGAACTATCAGGACTGGTAATTTTAATTTTATTACAAATAATTTTAATGGACATTAGAGTTACAGACGAACGGGGAATTTTTTAAAATATTTTTCAAGGACCAACTATTTTTGAAATCTTTTGTTGTTGCAAAATGGTCTGGCTTTATCCCTTTATTGTTGTTTTTATAAAAACAATCTATTTTTTTTTTAAATATTTATACCCTACAACACTATGTGTTGGGGGTATTATAAGTTTGATTGGGCCAGAATTTATGTAACACCTCGAAATATTGGTTTCCCATATAGGAAAGTATATATGGATCTTCCTAGCTCGCCGAGCTGAGTCGATCTAGCTATGTATGTCCGTCCGTCCGTCTGTCCGTCTGTCCGTCTGTCCATGTTAATTTGTAATCACTCTACAGGTCGCAATTATGGCCCGATCTTCACGAAATTTAGAATGTAGGTGGGGCTTGGACCAGAATAGAACCCTATTACTTTTGGAGATGATCGCCAAATGTTTAGGGTTTGAAATGGACCAAATACTGAAAAAATGTCGGATTTTGCAGTAGCTATACAGGTCGCAATTATAGACCAATCGACGCGAAATTTCTTATGTAGATAGAGTTTAGGGCGGGGAAGAAGCTTACTAATTTGGGTGGTCATCGGATAATATTTAGCGGGTAAAATAGACAATATCTTTTGTGTTGAAAATATTCAAAATTTTTCATTAAACCGCGAATATTTTAAGTCCCGGCGAAATCACAAAGCCATGACAAGATTACTTCTGATCTTTACATTGATATTAACATCCAACAAATCGGATATATAGCAAAATATGTCCGATATATATGTCTATCAAAGGAGATATGCTTGAAAAATCTCTTATATGTCGAGAACGGCTGAACTGATTTCGACAGTTCTCATTAATTCAGAATGGCCTCTTGCCAGGAAAGAAAAAACGTCTAAAAATCGCATAAAAATATCTCTCTAAAGATGAAAATATTGATTTTGTAAAATTTTCTCATATTTTTTCAATTTTGTCATATTTTTGGCATATTTTGATTTTGAATTAAACATTTGGTAATATTTCTACAGCTAACAAAACTAAGTAGTTAGGATATCAGGATATCATATACAGATCGCATTTATGGCCCGATCCTTACGAAATTTTGCATGGAGATAAGATGAGGGTCAGAATAGAAGCCTACTCTTTTTGGAGATAATCGCCATATATTTAGGTTTTGAAATGGACAAAAAACTGTAAAATTGTCAGCAAGTCGTAATTATCGCCCGATCCTCACGCGCATTTGTATGGAGGTTACCGGACATTGCAAAAGCCAAATAGTTTTGGATGGCCATCTAAAAATATTCAATGTGTGAAATAGTTTGCCAACTTTTGTAGACAAAATACGAAAACATCCATTCCAGTGACTTTTTGGAGAATTCAAAAAAACAGGAAAGACGCACTTCTGACTATTTCGTTAAGGCTGATTTCGTTGAAGAATATAGTCAAATGTCTGTATCCAATAATAAATGTTAATCTTTTGCCACTTCTGAGAGCTTATAGGTCTTTGGGAAATATTGGTTCCAGATCTAGGAAGACCATTTACGTGCAACATCTACCTATAAATTGGAAATGAGCAAATTAGTTCAAGTTTCTATTATTCGAAAATTAGAGAACGAAACCTGATGGTTTTCCTTTATTATTTGTCACAATATCTTGTGGAATTCATTCGAGTATCTGGCCTATATAAACTGTATCATTTATTATAGTGTTGTAGGGTATTCAACGGTCGGCCCCGCTCGAATGTAGCCTTTGCTTACTTGTTTTCCAATGGCTGATATGTTAACGAGTATTTTTAGAAGGACCATCTGAATTATCCGCTTAGATTTTTTTAAATATTTTTTAAGGACCAATAGACCACTAAAATTGGATTTTTAATGAATATTTTTTAACGTATCAACGTGGGTTCATTGCATGGATATAGCATGGATATTTAATGAAATAGTCTTAAAGATGTTTCTCATTGAACCATCAGACCTACAAGGGAGGACTTTTCAAGAAACAATCTGCCTTTAAACTTGGACTTTATTTATTTATTTTTTTTTTGTTTGAAGAACTATCAGGACTGTTAATTTTAAGGTTTTAAAAATATTTTTTAAGGACTATTGAGTTATAAACAAAGATTTTTTAAGGATCAAACCACCAGCGAGCATTGATTTTTTTTAATATTTTTCATGGACCACCTGACCTAGAAAATTGCATTTTTAGAAAATATTTTTTGAAGGACCAAAAATCCTACATATTTTTTTTTTTTTTTAATATATTTTTCAAAGACCAACTGGTCTAGAAACTTGTTTTTATACCCTACAACACTATGTGTTGGGGGTATTATAAGTTTGATTGGGCCAAAAATTATGTAACACCTCGAAAT